GAATCTGAACCGGTTTAGACTGCTTTGATCCAGTTGAACTTTCAGAGTTAGCAAAATTATTGTCTTCATCTAAGCCTTCAACTTGTATGTTAGATCCAGTTCCAACCAGGTTATTTAAGGAGGTATTCCCTTTGATCTCCTCCTCCATTTTAGATGTGATTAATCTATCTCTGTTACAGGGATATGTACCTAAAGCTTTTAAGGTTGCTGGAATTAAACCTCTGCTTAAGAAACCGTCTATTGACTCAGGCTACGTTCACACTGCAGCCTGAAGTGACTCTGATTTTTTTGCCCATATGTGACCTGTATCTGATCTTTTTATGACAGTCTGAACGACACAGATCGGATTTTTTCAAATGCGACCCAGGCCATTTGGATATGTGGTCCTGAATCCGATACGTATCTGATCTTTTCAAATGCGACCTGTGTCTGTACGGCCAGGTCGCATTCATCCGACCTACACGTCATTGATACTTGACAAATGTTACTAAACGTTACTAATCTGCGTCCTACTAAGCGGAGGTGGGAAAAACTAACAACCATGGCGGAAGATAACACAGAGAGCAGTCAATGGAGAGAAAGTGAGGTTGCTGACTTAATTCATATTTGGAAAGATAGCTCGATTCAGACCAAACTCGAAGGGTCTTACCGGAACCGGGGGAGGGTCTTTCTTTTTGATCTTCTTAAAAAGATTTCGTTCGTAATGTGCCTGCTCCTGTTGGAGAAGAACTTAAAGAACGCAATATACGCTGCGGTATTATGAGTCATGTTAACTTCCGCAAACACTGAGGACGCTTGCTGCATGTGACGTCATCGCGTCCTCGAGTGCGCATGCGGGACACTTCGGTTGAACACTTTCAGTTTACACAGTAGATCATATACAAGTCGCATATACTTGGAAGTGTGAACGGACACGCAAAAAAATCCGATTTCACAAAAAAAAAATCGGAATTGAGCATTAAGGCCTGCAGTGTGAACGTAGCTGACTTGGTCAATTATAGACCTATATCCAATCTTCCTTTCTTATCCAAAATTCTTGAGAAAGTAGTTGCCAAACAAGTTTGCGATCACTTCCACCATAATGAACTTTTTGAAGAGTTTCAGTCTGGCTTTAGAGCTCATCATAGCACTGAAACAGCTCTGGTGAAAGTCACTAATGATATTCTCATGGCCTCAGATAATGGACTTGTATCTGTGCTCGTCCTGTTGGATCTCAGTGCTGCATTTGATCCAGTTGATCATAATATTCTTTTAGAAAGACTTGAATATTTTGTTGGAATTAAAGGAACAGCACTAGACTGGTTTAAATCTTATCTATCTGATCAAATTCAGTTTGTTCATGTTAATGACAGATCTTCCTCATGCTCAAAGGTTACCTGTGGAGTACCACAGGGATCAGTGCTAGGACCAATTCTCTTTACTATATATATGCTCCCAATCAGTAGAATTATTAGACAGCATGGGATTAATTTCCACTGTTATGCTAATGATACCCAGCTATATCTGTCTATAAATCCAGATGAAGCTAACCCATTACATAGATTACAGGCATGTCTGAAGACATAAAAACCTGGATGACTCTTAACTTTCTGCTTCTGAATGCAGACAAAACAGAAGTTATAGTCTTTGGACCAGAGTCTCTGAAAAAGAAACTGATTAGTCAGTCACTTCATTTGGAGGGGATTAAACTGATTTCAGATAATAAAGTAAAAAATCTTGGTGTTATTTTTGATCAGGACCTGTCATTTAAATCCCAGATCAAAGAGGTTTCTAGAATTTCCTTCTTTCATCTGAGGAATATTGCAAAAATGAGAAATCTCCTGTCCAGGGGTGATGCTGAGAAACTAGTCCATGCATTTGTTACTTCAAGGCTGGACTATTGTAATTCTTTACTATCAGGAAGTCCACAAGCTGTAGTTAAAAGCCTTCAGCTGATCCAAAATGCTGCAGCCAGAGTTCTGATGAAAATGAAAAAGAGAGATCATATCTCTCCTATCCTGGCTTCTCTTCATTGGCTTCCTGTTAAATCCAGAATAGAATTTAAAATCCTCCTTCTCACATATAAAGCCTTAAATGGCCAAGCTCCATCTGATATCAGAGATCTGATTGTTCCTTATGTTCCTAACAGAGCACTTCACTCTCAATCTGCAAAAACGGACTAAAACTGGTAGTTGGTTCCACAGGAGAGGAGCCTGATAACTAAAAGATCAGCCTCCCATTCTACTTTTAGAAATTCTAGGAACCACTAGTAAACCTGCAGATTGAGAGCGAAGTGCCCTGTTAGGAACATAAGGAACAATCAGATCTCTGATATCAGATGGAGCTTGGTCCCCCCATATAGATAAGTATTTATTTACCATATTGAAGATGGGTCTTTTTAGAATTAAGTTTTGAATTTCGTCTGTATTTGCTACAGACGACCAGAAATCTATTAATTGTTTTCATGTTGTTGAAGTGGAAAACATCAGCCTTTCGGGTGTCCTTTCTAATAGAGAACTGAGAAATAGAGACGGGCTCATATTTACTTCCAGTTATTATTTCATCCAAATGAAAAATGGAGAACAGATGAGCAGATCATGGTTTGCCTACAGTGAAAAGAAGGACTGGGTTATTTGGTTTTTGTCTTTTTGTAAAGACAGGAAGAAGCAATCAACTGAGTGAGAATAGGCTTAATGAGCAACAAAATGTATAACAAATATGTATCAAATTCTATTAAATTCTATTAAAATTTCTGTATCTGTATAATGGGTCTGTTTAGGTGCCTGTCTTTGCCTATGGCCCCAGATTTCCTAACTCCGCCCCTACATCAGGCGAGGTTTTTATTGCTGATAAACTAAAGGCTTTTATTATAGTTTTTCTCCATAAATCCGCTCATTCGGAGCGAGAGCGCTGAGGTTGGCGTCTTGTGAGGATCAGTTCATGTTGATTGGTCCTAATCACCTGCAGAGGCTTTAAGGTTCAGGGTAGATTTCTTCTATAAGCTTAAACTTTTTTCCGAAACGAATTTTCCTCAGAGGGAAAAAAACTCTACCTGCATATTTACCTGAAGCATGCATGCCTGCATGTTGCATGCAAAAGGGAAGCAAAGAGCCAACTTTCCTGTTCATTCAAAACAGTCGTTTGGCTGGTTTAACTTTGACATCAGGTTGTTACCTGATCAGATCCTCACAGGATTATGTTTTCAGTTTCCCTTCAATGCAAACTGCATGTTTCAGAGTCTGGAGCTCCTCCTGCGGCGAAGCTGTCAGCTCTCAGCTCGGCTGAAAACACAAACCAAACCATAATTGCTCCAAAATCATTTTGAAGGGCTTATCAGTTGGGAGTTTTGTTTGTGCAGGAACTGGATGAACTGGTCTGACTGGAACCAACTGTTGTTGGTTGAATCTGCCTTCAATCTCCTTCAGCTTAAGGCCTGAACACAACGGTTGCATGAGACTTTTTAATCTCAGATCCGATTTTTTTTCCATGCCACTCTGAGACTGGGCAGGTTGGGCAGATCTGCACAGATTTGTTTCACCTCTGTCTCTGTGCTATAAACAAATCAAAACAATTTCACAGGTTTCACTTGGACAGATTATGAAACAGATTATTAAAAAAGAAATAAAATTTAAAGAAAAACACCAGAGCATTCTATAAAGCAAAATCCCGCTTAACGAGTCTGTGCAGCATTCCAAACCAGAACAGATAGAGAATGTTCATAGGCTTATATTAACAAAAAATGATGAAAAATATTGTTTGTGTTTTTTGTTTTTTTTACTGATTAACCCATTCATTAAATCAGCGCCAACTTATTAGTTTTGCGTAAAAATAATGATCCATTGATTATTTCTTGCTGACCAGACTTTTCCTTTAAAAGTGTTACATTTCCCATTCAAACAGCATCTTAATCTTTCAAAGTGAGTTTTTTCCATAGCTGGATTGAAGCAGCATCACCACTAACCCATTTAAGCATTATTGATTTTCTGGCCAACATCAGTAGGAATTGCAGAGTCTCTTTGTGAGAATCCAGATGACTTGGTATGAACCCAAGGAGGAACAGGACTGGACTAGGGAAAAGTGTTTGTCCAATAGCGGAGCTAATTTCTCGACATCCTGCTCGCCAGAATGCCTCTATAATTTTACACTCCCATAAACCGTGAACGAGTCCCTTTGATTACTTTACATTTGGGACAATTTGGAGAACTTCCTGGTGTGTAGTATTATATTTAACAGTGTTTCATTTATGGTTTTTACAACAGTCTGTCCTGCTTGCTGTGTCTGCTCTCTGCGACTTCAAAACTCAAAACTTTCCCCATGCGATTAAATTATTTTATTTTGTATTTTCCCCTAAAGCGGATGTGTTTACTTTGTAACCGCTTCTCTCTTCCTGTCAGACCCATAAAATCGTAGCTAAATTGCTGCGTAGCTGTCGGGTTCATAAATTGTAGGTTTTTGCAAAAGAAGAACTGAAATACACAATTATGGATACAATTCCTGCAGGAAGGAGAGACAGTTGAACCCCAGATTCAAACACACTGTCTCCCACTGGACTTCCTCTGCAGAGCGTTTATTAACAGAACATGACGCATGGTTACAAACAGAGTATTGTTCTGACAGAACAATTGATCAGTTCATAAAGACAGAATGCTCCATCAGAATGAGAAGGCAGGATGGTCTCCTGACTGAATCAGGAGACAGGAGTGGAGCATCCCCTTGCAAAAATGTTTCATAAGCACACATTAATTTTATAATCATCATTGAATAAACCTAACAGTAGCACACCTAAAATAGACCTGGGTTCTATCTACGCAGCCCCCTTGCGTATAATCTTGTACCGTGTGATTCCCCCATCCCAATTTCAATGAGCGCTAAACGCCACAACCTCGTCCTACGCCATTTTCTGTCAGATTCAATGCAAAGATTCTGTGTGTTCTGGCCTTTAAAGTTTAAGGTTTCCTGTTTCATCAGTTATACGATCAAAAAGGAGATGCTGACCTTCTGCTCTGCCTGTTGTTAATCAGCCATCAGGGAGAAATACAGCGACTGGACGGAGTTCCTCATTCAGGATCTGACCGGGTCCAGAACTGCACCTGCTAACCTGCTGGAAGGGGTGAGAGGCTTTTCACTTTACAGACATCCCATAATAGATGAAACACCCAGTGCTCCTTAACCTACATGGGATCAATCCACCAGAACCGGGGGAACCTGGTTCTTATCCTGTTTCTGGTGCCTTTTTAGGTGTGGTTCTGTTTTGTGCTGGAGAACTCCTAAAGCGTTCTGTGTCTGCTCCTCAGCCGCTGCGAGGGAAGAACACGGTGGATCTGATCGTGGACGGTTCTGTCCTGGAGCTGCAGGACCGGTCCGACCCGAAGCGGTTCTGGCCCGTTAGAGTGGTCCAGAACATCGGAGGGAGGCTCCGGCTGCGACCCGTCGGCCTCACCGAGGACCATCGGGCCCAGGACGTTTGGCTCTTCTACCTGGACTTCAGGCTCCGCCCCCTTGGCTGGGCTCTGGAGAACAGCCTGGCCTTAGAGCCACCGACAGGTCAGAACCGGTTCTGTTTGGAACCCGTGATTCACTTTCAATCACATGCAGAAGATCAGAGTTTCCCTCGGCCCGTTTTAGTGGATTCTGACCTGGTCCAGATCTGTTGGTGGAGCCTAATCGTGGAAATGTCTTTATCAATCAGAGCTGCGGCCCTTGAGGAGCGACTCTGATTGGCAGCAGGCTCTGCAGGACGCTCGGATGGACGGACAGAAGACTCCGCTTCCGCTGGAGGTCTTCAAGGTCGGTCCATTCATTTTCCTACCTTCTCTGTTGCCATGGTTACCCCTGATTCATTTTTGGAGAACAAGCATTGTTTATTTAGTTTCCCAAAACTATTTGATCTTCAAAAAAGAATTCCCACCCGAACCTTCCAGTTATTCACCTTATCTTTTCTCCATCACCAGCAGCCTCCTCTCTCTACCTCTTTACCTGCTTCTGAGTTTGTCTAAATCCGAATCCCTCGGTTCTGGTCCTGAAGGTTCTGCAACATTTAGATGTCTCTGCCTCCACACCTGCATCAGCTTCTCCAGAGTTCTGCTATTTATCTGAATATTTGAATAGTGTGTTGAAGCAGAGACGTCCAGGAGTCCAGACCTCCAGGATTAGAACTTAAGAACCCTGCATGGCCTATTATCATGTAAGAAATGAAAAAAGAAGGGACCCAGTGGCATCAAGGCGCCGACGTGTGTGAAAAGTCGTTAAATTCAAGAAAGCAGAATTTGGAACCGGAATGCAGCAGCCCAACGGCACCAAGCTGTACAATGATGCTCAGGCATTTAGCTCCTCCCTCCAACAGACCTACAATGATAAGAGACTGTTTGCCCTAAAACCATCTTCTCACCGTCTAGGACCATATGGACCTGCCCAAGCACTCGTTTAGGATGGGCATGAAGCTGGAGATGGTTTCTCCGTGGGAGCAGCTCAAGATCTGCCCCGTTTCTGTCACCAAGGTGAGTCTACACTGCATCCCCTATAGGCAGTCTCCTCCCTCATGCATGCTTTAGCTGCCTCTCAATGAAACTGCAAGGTTGCTGACATGTTTTAGGGGGAAGGGAATCCTGACAACAAACTTCAGTAGAAAACTTCAGGCAAGTCCTGCAGTGTTTGATCCCAGACGGATGTCGGTGACGGTCCTCTTTGTCATCCTCTCAAAGCCTTTCAGTTGCATTTTGATGGTTTGACTGTTTGACTTTATTGATCTCACAGTGGAGATATTTAGTCGTTACATCAGCTCAAATAGTCAAAAAGAAGAAGAAGGTGCATGGGAGTATATACAGTGCATCCACATATACACATGTATATTATTGTTGGACCTATACTTATGCTAGTACCGGGCAGGGCCCCGATCTAGGACTAAAAAGGTGGTATTGGTATCGGTAAGTAATAAAAAATAGGGCACCGATACCTTGTTGAGAGCCAAAAGTTTATTCAACCACTGTCACCCATTCCAGGTAGGCAATAAAAAGTTCTACTGGATTCACTTTGTAGTAGAGTCTGATGGCAACAGGGAGGAGTGACCTCTGGTAGCGCTCCTTTCTACAGACAGGGTGTAAAAGTCTTTGACTAAAGGAGCTGCTCAGCTCCTCTACAGTCTGGCGCAGAGGGTGGAAGGTGGCGTCCATGATGGATAGAAGCTTGGACAGCAGCCTCCACTTCCTCCACTGAGTCCAGAGTGCAGCCTAGGACAGAAGTGGCCTTTCTCACCAGCTTATTCAGTCTCTTTCTGTCCTGCTCTACACAGGGCTTATGCCACCACAGAGTTATGGGTTTTAAGCAGGGGCCAGCTCACTCCAAAAGACCTCAGCCTCCTCAAGAGGTGGAGGCGGCTCTGACCCTTCTTGTATAAGTCCAGTCTAATTTATTATTGACATGAACACCCAGATATTTGAAACTCTTAACAGTTTCTATGTCCCGCCCCTGGATGTTTAGGGCGGAGTGAGGTGTGGTCTTCTCCTGAAGTCGATCACCATCTCCTTGGTCTTACTGGTGTTAAGACACAGGTGGGGTCTTCTCACACCAGTCCACAAAGTTCATGATGACCGATCATTACTTTACTCTCAATGGGGGGGGGGGGGGGGGTTCAGCGTGTGTGAGCTGTGATTGACACTCCATCAGACGCTCCTCTGGCTGTGATTGGTTGTTTTGACTCGTCCCGAATTATTCTTTCCAGACTGAAATACAGGCAGTAGGCGGGACCAATTGAAGCAGTTTTTTTCACAGGTTACATATCACATGTACCGCTGTCTGGGCATAGGGACAGTTTTAGCCAATATGACAAAAAAGTGATTTTTAAAAACTTACAGACTTCAGCTTTAACACCTGTGCAGCACAGTGTTGGACGGATGATGACCTGGGCTTGTCCAAAAGCCACAGAACCAGGACTGTGCTGTCATTACACGGACCATAGCCTCCCCTGGAGACCAATTAATTCTGCCACAGAACCACAGCAGATCTACAACCAAATAGCTGAAGAAGAGGAGAAAGCAGGTGCAGCAATGGCCTAGTCAAAGTCTAGACTACCTGTGGTTAGAGTGAAAGCTACTGGGCCAAGTGGTGTCCTCAGCCAGTCCCAATCTTCATGACCAAACTTCGATCAATGCTCTTTATTCAATGATGTCATAAACACTGTAAAGGTCCTGCTGATGTTTGGGAATTCAGGATTTCTGACAGAACCAACACTGTAACGGGTGTCTCCTCCCCAGGTCTACAACGACATCTACTTCCAGGTGACGCTGGACGACCTCTCTGCTGATGCGAAGCCCCGCTCCGCCTTGTGCCACGCCCACTCACCCGGCATCTTGCCTGTCCAGTGGTGTCTGAAGAACGGCGTGGTTCTAGAGAAGCCTCTGGGCTACGAGGGCCAGGACTTTGACTGGGCTGACTACCTGAAGCAGACTGGGACGGAGGCAGCACCTGACTCCTGCTTTCCTGAGGTAAGAACCGGCTGGCTGTGGCTCAGACTCTTTCTCTTTAGGGGAAAATCCTGGTTTTGGTATGTTCACATTTAGGACAAAGAAGAAAGGTGGTTTAAAAGGGGTGTGAAGGAAGCCATTTATGTTAAAGTAGAAAAATCAACCTTAAACAGAGGGGGTGATCTCAGGTTCCAGCTCTTAAAAATCTTCACCCCAGCGATAGTTGATTTCTTCCCAATACCGTCTTAATCCTCATAGCTTTGCAGGGGATCAAAACATCTCGCCTGGTCAGCCAGGCCAACGATGACCCTAGCGACACCCTTTTCAGAGGCATGGGCCAGTATCAGGTTTTGCCAACAAAAACCTCAATGACTCCCCATTGCTAAAGGGTGGACCTGTCTTTTCGGTTCAATTTGCTTGTTTTCTAAGCAATAAGTCTTTTATTTGGTCCACTCTATAAGCCTGGAACTCAAACACAATTCCAGGCATTTTGAATTGAAAAGGTTTCCTGGATGGGAAACAAAACGTCTTCAAACTTGGAAATAAAGTCCATGGATTGTTTTTTTACTTTTATGGAATGACTACGATCTTGATGACTGAGAATCTTCACCAGCAGATGCCTTCAGAAAGTTCATGTTTTTTACCTAATATGGCCTCAATTTAAAAAATACCTGAAATTCAGTATTAAGCAATTTAGTGTTTTTGTATGTTTTTATTTTTATTTTTTAGGAAGGTATTTTTGTTCCAAAGCAGTGTTTTTTTATAGTTCTTATGGTTACAGTCAGAAAAAGATTAAACCAAAACTTAGGATTAGATCAAATAAATTATCTGCTGTGAGAAAAAAATAAATAGATGGATTCAAATGATTCTCCTTTAGGATGGATGATGATTGAAATATTTCTCCAGAGGTCCTTCTGCATATCCAGCGCAGTAAACATCATGAAGGACATGGATTAAATTTAAAGCTGATGAAAGAAGAATTAGTTTTTACTTTCCGTAAAAGTTCAAAAAATATCCACTGGACTTGGTTTCCAAGATTTGAAGACGTTTCGCCACCTCGCCAGGAAGCTTTCTCAATTCAAATGTCTGGATCCGCAGTGAGTTTGAGTCTTATATAGACAAAGCCTTGTATCGCTTGGAAACATGCAAATGGTAACTGATGAATGGGTTGTTTGGTTCCATCGTTAGCCTGTAATATCTGGGGGATTGTCTCCTGTAATACCTGAAACCTGTCTATAATTGTTAAGGGTCGGTCGTTAAGGAGGTATTGTTCACCGGCTGGAGTGGGTAGGTGCTTTTTTGAACTTTTACGGAATGACTATGACCTGGATGACTGAGAATCTTCATCAGCATAGTTTTTACTTTGTGCAGTTAGTGAAAACCCAAAATCAAGTCCGTTAGTAACTGAACGCCTCACATGGAATCTGGGCTCCTTTTGCATGGAACGGCATCGTCATTCCGATATGGCTCAGCCCGTGGTTCTGCTGAGGTTCTGGAAGCTCAGGCTGCTTTGGTTACAGCCTACCTGGTCGTCTGCTTTGCTATTTCTGTATCTCTGAGCTTCTTGACAGCAGCCATCGACTCGCTGTGGGTTCTGGTTGGTCACTCCACTGGTGTTACCATACTGGTCAAAGCGTTGTGGGCTGGTACCAAGGCCTGCCCATCTCATGTCTCCTGACATGTTCTAAAAGTCCTGGTAGATGGAGCTATGTCATTTCGTAGATGGCAGTGGTCATTTGAGGTTTAGTGACTTTGCACTTAAACTTTGAAGTGGAATATTGATAACCTGACTCTGCCAGATGGATTTGCTCCGCATATCCATCTGGAAACCTTCCGTTGAAGAAATTTTGGGAAGGGGCGAAAATACTGGTTAGCTGATTGGCCTATGTTGGTGATAGACGGGCCAAATAAACCAATCAGATCAACGAAGCATATGACGTACTAACAGAGCGACGACGAAAACACAACCACAAGATCAAACTCTTGCTGAAACCAGTCTGGAGAAGAGCAAAAACATCTTTTCTCTGAGAAAAGCCTCCAGAGCAGTGTTTTGCTCTTCTTTCAGTGAAGAAATACTCTGTAATTCCGATAAAACTTGCTCGATAGCCACGCTAATGCTAGTTTCATCGGCTGAAGCCGCCATGTTCTTTAGACTGAACTGTCGAGCTTCTCGTTGCGTCACACCTCAACCCGCCTCAAAGCCAACGCTGATTGGACGTTCATTTGGTGAACTGCCCCAAATTTTCTTCAACGGAGAGTCTCCAGACTGCTTTGCAAGTGAAACCTTGAAAGCTCGCGAGATCAGGATGGTCTCACGAGGCTAGAATATTGATGCTACGGGTGTTGGAAAAAATCTATTTGGCAATATGTCGTGATTTTCGGCGGCCCAATATAATATCGATATTTGAGTTCCTAATATGGATTTTAAAAAACCAAACCGTTTGAACCTGAAACAATGAGGGAAAATGGGGTACCTCTCCACCACCTCTCTGGTAGATGGTGCTGTGGAGCCCTTTTGTGTTCAGCGCAGAGCCATATCTGTAGTTGAGGCAGCCATGACTCAAACTCCAAACATGGATGCCAAAATCACTCGACAATCACTGTCTTCTGATGAACATTTACAGCACTTTCTTATTTTTCCTATACTTTTCATTTGATAGCTAGGAAAATTATCATAATATATAGCAGGGATTGACGTTAAGGATTTTTACCACTTGCCCTTTGGGCAAGTGACTTTCACATTTAATTTGCCCAGAAACAATTTTTACTTGCCCAGTATAATGTTTGATAAATATAGTTCCTAATATTCATTTTTGTGTATATATATCAATTAAAAATGTTTGTTTTTTAAATGTTTTTTGTAATTCTGTATTTTTTAAGTTTCCTGGTGTGTATTTGCATGCGCCAGTTAATGAACTCAAGCCTACATTACCGTGTTAACATGCTTTTCAATCCTTCCTGCTCATTCTTTTCAAACTAAACTTTGCTTTAAAATGTTGTGTGCTTGGAAAAATATAAATTGTAATGTTAAAAATATTTAAAAAAACTTGACAGGTTAAAAACTTAAGATAAATCACAAGACAGAAGTCAATGTCACAAATGACTAACTTTTATTTTAGAGTCACGGTATGTTTATAGAAGATAATACTATTGATATAATGTGACTTTTCTAGAGAATCATTATAGTTATTTTATTCAGGGTTTCCACAGTTTTACATCATTTCAGAATTCCCTGACTTTTAACTGACTCAGGATTAGTTTTCCCTGATAAAATAAATGCAGCAACAAGACAATAATAATAACATAACAGGTCACCAATTTAACATGTTTAGCTCTATAACATTTAAATGCACCTCTCCAATGTCTAAGAGAAAACAATTTAATGAACATTTTTTTAATGTATGACTCAAATAGCATCACTGTACAGAAGACTGCCATATGATAGCCATATTTACACTGTGCGCATGGCATACAATTATGCCAATTTTCCTAATCCCTGACCGATACTTTTTAATCTAGGCTTATCTGGGTGGAGGGTAAAATAGGTGGTGGGTGTCTTACTGTACTTACATTTTTTTGCCTTGTTGTTGTTTTTTAGCCTGCCAAGTTGTAAAAAATGTGTCTGATTCGCGCCAATTCCCGGACAAAAATCACGCCATCTGGCGGAAAATCACGCGGCTTTTTCAAATCTCGCGAGAACGTGTACAAAACAACAAAAATGGCGCCGGCAACACTTCTGGGTCGTTTTCATCGAATGCCAGTGATTTTAAAGTAATTTTGAGTGATAAATAATTTTTTTTAAATTTGTATTCTCCCAACAATAAAAACTATTTGCCCGGGGCGATGGGTAACATCGAGCCCTGTATAGTGATATTTCAACCCTAAAGGGCTGGTTATCCTCCTGCAGCAGTGTGTCACAGTGAGCTTGACGCAGAAATTTTAGATTTATGCCCAATATTGAGGCGTGGTCTGCGTTATGTTATTCCACACAACAAAGCAAAATGGACAACTAGCTGTCGGTCTAGAGAGGGTGAGAAGTTGGGGGCGAGTTTGTGCGACAACGGAGGGACACGAAGGCGAAAAAGAGCTGGGATCCAGGTGGAAAAAGGTTCCGGGTGTTCTTGCGCACCTCGCTCTTCTAACTGGTCCATCTTCACAGGTCGTTTACCACAATGGCGGTCATACAAACAAAACAAGCCGGTAAGGCACCAAACAGGAAATACACATAGTGTAGAGCGGATGTAGATTTGACCAATCAGAGGCCTCCTGTCTGCGGTCACCTACAATTTTGGAGAGGTTCACCAGAGTGTCTATGGATGGGGGGCATATTTGCATTCACTGCGACACAAGTGCAGACGACCTGGTTTCTGAGTATAACCCAGCCTTAATTGATGCTGCAGCAGAAGAGCAGCCTGGTTTCAGATCCCTGCCCTAACCCCCCCAACCCCTGTGTGTGCTTTCAGACTTGGCAGACTCGAGGTTTTGCCAAGGACATGTGGCTGGAGGCTGTGAACCCTTGGCGGCCAGAGGACGTGTGTGTGGCTCAGATCAGTCAGGTTCGAGGACGCCTGCTGTGGCTCCGACTGGAAGGTACTCCCCTCTGTTCGCTGCATCTTCCTTTAAAGCTGCGTCCAAATATGACCGCCCCGCCCGTCTCCAGGTGTGCCAAAGACGCTGTCAGAGTGCATTGTGGACGTGGAGTCCATGGACATCTTCCCTGTTGGCTGGTGTGAGGCCAACGCTTACCCTCTGACCCATCCAGTCAAGCCTATCCGTACGTATGCTCACAGAAACTCCCAGCACAGCTCAATGGCCGCCTTCATCATCAAAAACCTCCTTGTTCTGTTCTCCTGCAGGCCAGAAGCAGAAGAAGATCGCAGTCGTCCAGCCGGAGAAACAGTAAGAAAGATCTCTATTTTCATCAAGTCCTAAATGTTTTCATCTAGATACAGATAACAACACCATCCCGAAAACTTTAAGGGATCAACTCAATTGCTGCATTGTAGGTTTTTGAAAGCTGTAATCTGAGTCTTAAACAGAAGGGTTGGACTCAGATTTCAGCTTTCAAAAACCTACAATCCCTTCCCGCAATCATTGCAACCCCAACCCCTCTAACAGAAGACCTCGTCTATTCAGCAAGGCCAACAGTTCCCTTTATTGACCCCCCTTTCAGAGACATAGACAGGTATGGGGCATTGGAGGCTAACAAAAGAAGCCAAACGCCCTCTATTCCAAAGGGGTGGACACTTTTGATTCGTACTGTAGGATAACTTTGTTATCCTTTTTTAAGAAAAATGGAAAATCTCATTAATTTATGACATATTTAGAATTTTAACTTTGGCCTTTTATAAAGGGGTGTAATCAAGCTGCTAACTCAGATCAGGCTGTTCGTTTAGAAGAAGGAAATAAGAACTGAAATCATATCTGTGGGATATTTACTGCTCCATCTAAAGTGCATATATGGAGAAATTGATTTTGAGGCGCTTCAGGGGTTCAGGGCCGATGTGAGCTGGGATGGTTTGGTTAAAGGGGATCACTGTTGGTTATTAAGACATTATTCTTCTGTGGGTCACGGACCTGGAGTTCGATTAGGGACGTTGGTCTCCAGCAGTGCTTGATCAACCCTCACATCCAGCCTTATTGCTCTCCATCACTACCCGCTCATTCTGGACCAACTCTGTATTCAATCTGACTAGATCACTGAGATGATTTCACTGGTTGTTTGACTGGATTGATGGCATTTTTCCTGCAGGTTGGCTCCATTGCAGGCGGTTGAGGCGGCTCCTGTGAACCCCTACCAGCCTGTTGCCATGGATCCAGGTAATAAGTAATCTCCCTCTGGGATTATTAAAGTATGTCTGATTCTCATTCTGGATTAAAAGCCCAGTAATAATATTAATGAACTGCTCTGCCACTTCCTCTTGACAGCCAAAGGCCCTGAGTTAGAGGCAATCCCTTTTAGGTCTTTGGATCGCTCAATGAATTATTTTGGCTTAAACATGTATATAAATGTACTCTTTATGAGAATATATTGTCTCAAAATTTAGAAAATTTCTATTTAAAATAAAAACCCTGTCTTAAAATCTGTGTTTTTTCTCGTTATCTTATGCAGGCCAGTTAGTTATAATCCCTCCGTCCATCCACCCGTCCGTCCGTAAAATCCATCCATCCGTCCATCCCTCCGTCCAACCATCTTTCCATCCATCCACCCGTCTGTCCGTAAAATCCATCCATCCGTCCATCGATCCGTCCGTCCGTTCGTCCACCCATCCGTCCATCCATCCATCCACGCGTCTGTCCATCCATCCACGCATCCATCCATCGGTCCATCCGTCCGTCCGTCCATCCATCCATCCGTCCTTCCATCCATCCATCCGTTTGTCCATCCATCCTTCCTTCCATCCATCCATCCATCCAGCTGTCCGTTTGTCCATCCGTCCATTAACATCCCAGTTTTTTTCTCTCTTCCCCTTCAGGCTCAGCCAGCGGCCGCTACTGCTGCTCCCAGATTTTCGTTAACCACCGCTGCTTCTCAGGGCCGTACCTCAACAAAGGACGCATCGCAGAGCTGCCACAGGCGGTGGGACCCGGGAAATGCACGCTGGTCCTGAAGGAGGTGAGCTGGTGGGAAGCTGAAAATGGAAGCTTTATCTTAACGTCAGGATATGTCGCTCAGCTCAGTTTGCAGATGAACATCTTCCACTTCTCCACAGATGCATGTTCTCCGTCCGCAGACTGTTTTTCTATTATCTGTATAGATATTCAATGGTTTTGATATATTATCGCAATATTTTATGCGGGTTTCTGCCTCTAGCTGCTGAGCATGCTGATCAACGCCGCCTATAAGCCTGGGCGGGTCTTGAAGGAGCTGCAGGAGATGGAGGACCAGAGCTGGGAATGCCAGATGGAGACCATCAAAGCCAAGTAAGACGATGAGTACAGAGAGCATCATTGCTGTCCGTCTCTTAGCAACCAATGAATCCTCCAGCTTCTTCTTTCTCTATCTTCGCTGCAGTGTGAATTATTCTGGGGCTCCTTGCTGCATATTTCCCTGAGTCAGCGTCTTGCAGAGCACAATGCTCATATTCACGCCACTGTGTCAGGCGCTGCCATAGGAGAACGCTTTAATATTGTGGCCGTTTCAATCCAGACTGGGAGAAATGGGACAGTGCAGCTCAGTTCTTTGTCTGCTGGCTGAAACCCATCGGTTCTGCATCCATTCCAACCAATAATGGATGTAAAACCGATTGTAGCGGGGGGGAAAGTATTCAACTATTTACACCAGTTAAATAACGGAGATCAATGGATCTTAATCAGTCGGCGCTTTATTTTATCTTTGCAAAGAGAAAACAGTTCATCATATGGATCTTATTGCACGGTAATTAGCCCTGTTCTGATCTGGATCTCGTTCGTTCCCTTTACTTACATTAACGGAAATTAGTCTGAGTCAAAACAGATTACAGACACTTTGGTTAAACAGTCACATGTTATGAATAAACCTGTAGAAAGAATCTGGCTTGATGTGGGAAGAAGTATATCTTGTCTACAAACACCATCACTCAGGCATTGTGTGGCTTTGAAGGTGAAACTGTCTGAGTGAAAAACTGTTTTAGTGAAAAAATAGCATAAAGCAATATATGAAAGAGGAGAAATCTAAATTTTCTGACCACATCGATATAGAGTTGATCAATATATCATTCAGGTTAAAAACTGATGACGCGAAGGTGAGAAGACCAATGGATGGAGGGGTCAAATGCATATGAAATATAATTAAACAATTTATTTTTTCGAAGGGTCCAAAAGATCTGGAATAATTGTTGGTGTTTGACAGAATTATTTAGCATTCGGTCAAGAAAAATACAATTTCAAGTACATTAGAACAATTTTCCCCCTTTAACCCCTCGAACAACCCTCCTGTTGCATCATTAAGGACAGTCAAAGTATGACGAAGTGTATTACTCCAATGATCCATAACCTTGATGTGGTTCAGAATAGGGTGCCAGACACTGAAAAACTTGTGGGCGTGGCCTCTTCTAGAGAATCTGATTTTCTCTAATGTCAAACGATGCATAGGATCAACCAGCCATAATTTCCATGCCATGATATTCCAAATATCGCGATTGTGGCCTCAGGTTTAATGCTAATACCTAAAGAGTCAGAGAGAAATTTGAAAATGGGCTCCCAGAAGTTTTTCAATTTAGAACAGAGCCAGAATGTGTGTGAGAAGATGAAAAGAGTCTGACAGTGTTTTATGGCTCATATTCATTAGATCGTTGTGGATTTCCTCCCTTATCTCATCCAAGCGGTGGGACTCTGCTAGCGGTGGCTTAAAGCTCACTCTGCTGCAGTTCTCCAGTCCAGGGGATCCTCTGGATCCAGCCTCCTGGTATCGTCTGTGCTGCTTTGAATCTGCTACTGAATCTTTCAACTGCAGAGGTTTTGTTAAGAATGCAAACAATAGTAAACATTTTGCCTTCGGATGGAAGATCATCTGAGTTTAGCAGAGAAAAAAGGTCAGAATGAAAGGGTATTCACAGCTTGATAGGAAATATGTTTTCTTCTTAAAACGTATCTTAAAACTCTGATTGAATGAAAGTTTGTTTTTAGAAATGTCTGTTTTCAGTTTCTTTAATCCGAATCATTGTTGGACTCTGTGTTTAACATTGTGTAACTCCTCTTCAGGTAATCCCTCCTGTGTTATTTTAATTAGCCGTATTGTTTCGGTCAAAGAAAGTCTAATATATCCATGACTTGCTACTAACTTGCAGCTAACAGTTTCTTCTTTCTCGCCTCAGATATAAAGGGAAAACCTATCGCGCCACCATTGGGATCGTCCGCCTGGCCGAGCAGATCCCTGAATTCTGCCGTAAGGTGTGTGTGAAGCTGCAGTGCTGCCCCAACCTTTTTGGCCCCGCCCCCGTCACCGAAAAGTGCCCCGAGAACTGCTCGGTTCAAACCAAAACCAAATACAGTGAGTGGCTGAGACGGTCCCTCCCAGAACCACGGCCTTGTTGGAAACTCCGCAGTCGCTCATGTTTTTAATGTCTGCTGCAGCGTGTTACTACAGACAGAAGAAGAGGTTTCCCAAAGCAGCGGGCGGAGAGGAGGCGGCAGGCGGAGAGCTGGCCAAGCCGCTGCGTCGCAGGAGGAAGAGGAAGGCCATCTTTGTACAGAAGAAGAGACGCACATCTAATGTCGACTACATTCCTGCAGCCTCACCACTGGTATTCTATCACATTACTATTTTTCCTCAGAACTGTATCACAGCTGCTGCCTGAGCTCCATGCAGTGGAAAAAGATCAAATCTAGATCAATCATTTTTTCTTAAAATAAGTCCATTTGTTCTTGTCTTCAATTTATTTTGGGGGGGGGGACAAATATCAATGTTATTAATATAAACATTAATATTTTGGTTATATTTGGTTTATGCTCAGAAACCAGGTCGTCTGCGTGTGTCGCAATTAACGCAGATAGGCCCCCTTTTGAAGACAAAATTGTAGGTGACCGCAGACAGTGGGGAGAAAGGAGGCCTCTGATTGGTCAAACCTACATCCGCTCTACACTATGTGTACTTCCTGTTTGGTTCCTTACTGGCTTGTTTTGTTTTATGACCGCCATTGTGGAAAAGAACTCATGAAGATGGATCAGCTAGAAGAGTGAGGTGCGCGAGAACCCTGAGACCCTTTTTCCACCTGGATCTCCGCTCTTTTTGGCCCTCATGTCCCTCCGTCGTCGGACTAAACTCGCCCCCACTTCCTCACCGCCTCGGTCGTATCTAGGCCCACAGCGTGTAGCACAGACCACTCTTCAATATGGAGCATAAATCAAAAATGTCTGCGTCAAGCTCACTGCAACACACTGCTGTAAGAGGATAATCAGGAAGCGAGGTAGGAGGGTGAAATAGGTTTAGCGCCACCGCAGCACGGGAGGGAGAACTACGGCCAGGAGCAAATGGATAAAAATAGACCGGAGGAAAGGAAAGGATTGCTAATGTGGTAAATGACTATTATAGCTGCAAATGTCTGGTTTTTGGTGCAATATCTACATAGGTGTATAGAGGCCCATTTCCAGCAACTATCACTCCAGTGTTCTAATGGTACAATGTGTTTGCTCATTGGCTCAGAAGGCTAATTGATGATTAGTAAACCCTTGTGCAATCATGTTCACACATCTGAAAACAGTTTAGCTCGTTACAGAAGCTACAAAACTGACCTTCCTTTGAGCAGATTGAGTTTCTGGAGCATCACATTTGTGGGGTCAATTAAACGTTAAAAATGGCCAGAAAAAGAGAACTTTCATCTGAAACTCGACAGACTATTCTTGTTCTTAGAAATGAAGGCTATTCCATGCGAGAAATTGCTAAGAAATTGAAGATTTCCTACAACGGTGTGTACTACTCCCTTCAGAGGACAGCACAAACAGGCTCTAACCAGAGTAGAAAAAGAAGTGGGAGGCAGCGTTGCACAACTGAGCAAGAAGATAAGTACATTAGAGTCTCTAGAGTATATAACTCAAGGTCGCCGGCGTGATCTATTGTAACTAGGAAATCCTTTCGCACATAGGAATCTGTGTTGCATGCTCTGAGCTCGTTTCAGAGACCTCAAAAGGAAAATATGTTATTAGCAACCTTCTCTGATGCCTTAACTGTTCTTTCACCTCTGCGCTCGATTGTTTTCTGTGTGTAAGGGTTTCCTGTTCAAACATTCTGTCCCCCCTATCCTCTGTGTGTTGCCTTTCACTGAAACATGTTTACACAGTGTGAAATTATATGGCTCCCATAAAGCATAGTCGAGGACCTGTCCCATAAAGCTGACATCTTGTTTCCTCCTTTCCTCAGGACAGTGTCGAAGAAGAAGACGATGTAGAACGGTTGTTGGAGTCCGGCAGTGAAGGTACCAGTTCGGAGCCCCGCGATGACCTCACAGACGCCTCATCGGTGGAGGTGACCAGCAGCAGCCAGCGTCCTCGCCGGGCAGCGACACTTCGCAGGGCCTTCAGTGCCGGGGCTTTCGATAGATTCCACAAGACTTCTGAAGGCCACAGACGCTCGACACGTTCCCTGTCCGCCTACAGCCAGGACAACAAGTTCCAGAAAGGACAGGACATCAAGGTGACAGAGAGAGAGAGGCTACAGAAAAGCTTCTCATGGTCCAATCACACCAACACCTTCTGATCCAGTCAGCTGCTTGTTTCATGTGTTCAGGTCCAGGAGAGCGACGGCCCGCTGGTTCTGGACAAGAACCCTCTGGAATGGAGCGTCGACGAAGTTGTCGACTTCATTAACCGCACCGACTGTTCGTCATTGGCAAATATCTTCAGGGAGCAGGTAGTACCCTGCCCTCCTTCTAAAACTGCTCTAGAACAGCCCCAGAATGGCAATGATAGGAGCAAAGCAGTGGCACGGTGTTCTGTCAGACAAGCATACCCCGTCAGATCAGCATACCTATAGTCAATACGCATGTGCAAGATGTCTGACTTGCATTTATCCCTTTAGGTTTGTACGAAAAATGCACTGTAAACTACCTCAATGGGCATTTATAAAAAAAAGTAAGGTCAGATCACCATATGCTTAAAAAAAAACAAAATGTTTGTAATTAAATAGTTTTTTTTGTACATGAATAAAGGGATACACACCGGTTGAGGTAGTTCAAAGTGTACTTTTCTTGCAAAACTAAAAGGAATAATTTGACCTTTGACTATGGGTATGCTGGTCTGACCGGGTATGCTCATCTGACAGAACACGGGTACGGAAACACCTTAGAGACAATAATGAACACAGAGAAAAGGATATGTGAACACCTGAAAACCCAGGAGTTTGACATCACAGCTAGCTTAGCCATATTGAAGCTAAACATCAAAGTGGATCCATTAGAGTTTCATAATTAAACAACACATGTTCAGACTGTGGATTGTAATTGTACTCTGAAGTAGAAAAACTACTTTACCTGCAACCCTGAGCATAACCTCTGGAGAAGCTCTTTAATTGACATGGATCCTCAGTTTTATAAAGTTAACAGCAGGTTTGAGAGACACTGGATCTTCTGACCATAAAACCCATTTATTGTTCTATTTAAAGCCTGCATGTATAAACTACGAATGCCCCAAGTTCCCATAAAACTCTGTTTACATGTATGGTTAATACAACTATTTACTATTTGTGCACATTAATTATCTTTTTAATAAAAATCCTTTTGCAAAATGCCATCAGAACAACCCCCCCCACCATATTGGATCAGTCTATTTGCTGCACATGTTCAGAAAGGTCCAAAGAGCAGCAAACCATTTGAAAACAAATAGTGCGAAGAGCAGTGTTGTGATCTTAGCACTTTTGCCGCTATATTTAGCGACCTTTCAGACCCCTTTAGCAGTTTTATTACAAAAAAAGCGCCTAATGCCAAATCTGGAGCATTTCTTTCTGCTACTGGGGACTTTGGCGACAACATCTAAAAGCAGCGAACTCTGCTCTCCAGAGCGAGTAGATTGGTAACCCCGCCTCCTGCTCTCCTCTATCTTGTCTGCTGTAATGATTCATGCAGCTATTATTTCATCCAAATGAAAAATGGAGAACAGAGAAGCAGATCATGGCTTGTCTACAGTGAAAAGAAGGACTGGGTTCTTTACTTTTGCCGTTGCTTTTTGGAAAAACGGGAAGGAAAGTCTGCTGAGTACAAAACATAGAGAGTAGAGAAAACAACAAGAAAACAGACAATTTAAATTCAATTCAGTTTATTTCTATAGCGCCAATTCACATCACGTCTTTTCAAGGCACTTTACAGTTCAACCAGACCATACAGTCAGATTGATTCCAATTTTTCTAACGAAAACCAGTTGATTGCATCGACTCATTGACTCTTCAGCAATCCCTCACACTAACCATGCTTGTTGCGACAGTGGAGAGCAAAAACTCCCTTTTAACAGGAAGAAACCTCCAGCAGAACTAGGCTCAGTGTGAGTGGCCATCTGCTGAGGCCGACTGGGGTTCAAGGAGACAGAAGCAGAGATAGAAAAAGCAGCTATTAAATGCGGGCCCCATCCAGGAATCACGCAGCCAGGCAGACGAGCTCTGACCCACCTCTCTTGTCAGAGGATGAAGAGAGCACATCCAGTTAGTCACAGTCAGAGAAACAGGACTACACTGAAAAACAGGCTGATCTCCAACATCTATAGACAAAGGTGTTGATGGCAGCAGCACAGCTGATATTTCTCTTCAGGATGAGAAATGAGGGACAAAACGCATAACAAATAATGTTTGTCTATTCTAGTAAAATTTCTGTATCTGTATAACGGGTCTGTTGTCTTCTCAATTCAGAGGGCCTCCTGCCTGTCTTTGCTTAGGGCCCCAAATTTCTTAAATCCGCCCCTGCCTGTATCCAAGACCTAGGCGTTTCTGCATCATGTCATGATGACATAAAGACAAGAGAGACTGACTCTTTTTTTTTACATTTTTAAATGCAAACTGTTGGTTTTTAGGCCGAGTTACACTCAGCTCTTCCCTTGCCACAATAGGGCCTTAAAGGCATACTATGCAAATTTTTTTAGTTAATTAATGTGTTCCATAACGTTTTGGATGATTAAATGAGTCATTTCAGATCGAACAAAGGTTTTCTCGGCCGCCCTGGTGGTCTGTAGGGGAAATACCGTACTTGCAATTGCAGGAGCCCTCGGCCCGCACCCACAGGCTCAGAAGTCTCGTGCATCGCGAGAGCCGGTCTTGCTTTATGGCGAGAACTGCTACACGCCCCCAGTGAAAGGCATGCTCGTTGCTAGCGCAGTGGCCATATTTGTGCAGTTATCATGGCGGAACCAGCGAGAAAACAGCGAAAGCCCATGTCGGAGCAGGCAAGAAAGAGGAAAAGGGCTCTCTACCGCAGTAGACATGGTGATTCGTTGCATTCGCCTGTCTGCTAAGCTCAAAACAACCGCGCCTGGCTTGACGGAGAAACCAGGGGAACAGCTGAGCATAGTTACGACAGTGCACTTTTACTTTCGCCCTCTGGGGGGAGCCTCTCTGGACAATCAACACCGGTTGCATAGTATACCTTTAATTTTCTCCTTATTCAGAGGTGGTCCAGTTCAGGTTCTTTTCAAATGTTGAACTGAGGGCGACGAAAAAGCAAAAGACCCCAAAACATTTAAAATGAGACATAATAAAGACATTTAAAAAGTATTTCAGCTGATTTTTTGAGAGATTTAAAGTTGTTTGTTTGGTTTATACAGTAAGAATCATTGTGAAGAGCTAAAAGTCAGTGCTCATTAAAACCAACCCCCAATGGACATTGACAATACACACACCTTAGTGTAGTTATGTCTCAATTTAATGCTTCATTAAACGTTAATCCAAGCTCTTAGTTATAGAACACATATATATTGTGCAGGAATGAGGTCTTAGCACTGTTACTCTGGTAGCCAAGTAATCGACATTTCGTTATCAAGATTCACCTTGTGTTTTTCTGTGCAATGACAATAAAGAAAGTCTTATTTCCATCTTGTTTTGCAGGACATTGACGGCCAGGCCCTGCTGCTGCTCACTCTGCCCACCGTCCAGGAGTGCATGGACCTGAAGCTTGGCCCTGCCATCAAGCTGTGTCACCATATCGAACGCGTCAAGGTTGCCTTTTATAAACAGTTTGCAGACTGAGCCTGGAGGAGGGTCCTCACTGCTGACAGCTCCAGTTTTCTTGGGGATTCTTCTTCCTTTTGTTTTTTAATCTGTTGAACTAAAAAGCACACAGAGGATGAAGATAGGAGGATATGTTGAAGGACTTTTTGAAAACCTTCCCTGCTGATGATGGAGATTTGCATCCTGATCTGTGCAGACTTGGCTTTCAGCCAGAGTGACATCGCTTTGCTTTCGTCTCACCCTGATTGGTTCTAATCCAAAAGTATTTAACAAAGTGAGAAATAATATATTTTGTGATATTTATTACTATCCAGATATTTAAGGACAGATTTAAAGCCAGATGATCAGGGGGTCAGTTTCACGAAGCAAGTTTACTGAAAACTTAAGTTTTCAAAACCTGAAATCAGAGAAACTTTCGTTTCACAAAGAGTTTCCTCAACATCTGTTTCGGTTGCCATAGTAACATCCTCCCAGAGCTCCTGGGAGCAGGTTCTGTTCAGTAAACTGCGGCGAACGTCCGTCCTAATCACTATAGTGGTTACACTATTTTAGATGAGTGAACTAGACATTTCCTACAAAAGTATTGATCATCCGTGGTCACTGGACGAGCAGATATATCCCAAAGAGCCATATTGGACCAAAAAACAAATCTATCTGAAGCCGCCAAAATGTAAAAGTCTTGCCATATGAGGCTTATAGAAATGTATTAACCCACTATAAAAAAGAAAACAAAGTCGCATGAGTTGAGGGAGGAGCAGTGAACGCTCTCATGGCGTGGAATTCACCGCGTGCCGCTTCTCCGCCCTTTATCGCACGGTTAAGGTTTTCTTGCATTGATAAAATAATAGAAACACGATAAAGGAATCTTTCTATGATGGAATTGTTTCTGTTGGGAGGAGCTGATTGAGTCACAAGGAACCAAACAGGAACTGACATCCATCAGAGCAGAGCTCTCTAAACCGGAAATCTCACATCCTCCGTCACCGTCGTTCCTTTGCGTAATTTTTATTTTCAGGATTTCGGGGGGACCAAAATGGAAGGAGGTTCCCATCCCTGCATCACCTGTTTGATCCGTGGACGGTTATCTAGCAGCAGTACACTGCAAAAACGTTGTGAAAATGAGTAAAAATGTCTTTAAACAAGTGTATTTACCTTAAATTTGAGTAGGAATATAAGATGATCTGCCAATGGAATGAGCATTTTTTACCCTTAAAATAAGATAAATTAGATATTATGCGCTTGAAGTAAGAGACTATAGTCTTTTTTTCTTATTTTAAATGTAAATTGTGTTATTCCATTGGCAAAGAGTCTTACTTACCTGCTCAATTCAAGAAGAAATGCATTTGTTTTAAGAAAAATTTACTTACTTAGATTTACATTTTTTGCATTGTAGTGGAGTTTGGAGATGCAATCCACTTTGCTCTCCTCTAATTTACCCAGAAGTTCTGCGATCACACTTTTTCTCTCCCTCCCAGCTTTGTGATCGGTTGCATATTTAGCAACCTTCCCTGGAAATGCCTTACCAAATTACTATTTTTATTTTTTGACAACCTCTCGTTGCAAAGCAAAAAAGCAATCCATCCTTCCACATTGATGATGAAAGCAAATGATTCGCTCCATTCTTCTCTGAATCCTCTGTTCTCATCAGCTATCTTTCTTTTTTCGCTTTGGGATCCATAGGCAGAGACACACCGCCGCTTCGTTTGCCTGGCACCACGCTGCACTGAAACATGTGCTGCAGGCTATGACCAATGATCTCTATGGCTATGAAGCAAATTTACGCTGAAAGTTGAAATTTATTTATAATACACATTTGTACAGCATTGGAAAACATAATGAAGTGACCTCCTGCACACCATATTAAAATAAACAAAATAAAATTCAATTTTGATACATTTTTGAAAAAGCTCCAGGGAGCCTATAGGAGGGCGCTAAAGAGCCGCCGACCCCTGCCTTAGAGCATATCAGGTTGTTTTATTTCCCGATCTAGTCAGGAGATTTATGTCGTAGGATTGTGCAAACAATATAGTAAATAATTCACTGGGTCTGTTGGACACATTAGGTTTTAAAAACAAACATTGCATGTCCTTTAGACGGGGATCTTATTAAAGTATGATCGATATTCATTTCCAGAGAATGAAATATATATATGGAGAGAATTCTACAACTCAGTTGTCAGGATATGAGATTTATTTATTTTTGGTTACAATATGAATGTAAATGTAAATCCCTTTATTATCCCACAATGGGGAAATGTACCTCTGCATTTAACCCCTTGGAACTCACGACCTCCGGGACCCAAGAGCGATGCTCTAACCACTAGGCCGCCGCTGATTTAAGTCTGACCTGCTTTGTGAAACATGCCTCTGGAACAGAAACAGGAAGCTTTGACTCCCCCTCCCTATTGTTACACCTCCACAGGAAAAGAAACCATCTCCGTCTATGCAAATGTGTGATATTTTTGATAACAAAATAAATTTTTATGGATTTCTATCTGAATTCAAGCTGTTGTTTTTTTATGGAAGCCATTTTGGTTTTATAACTTTTAGCCCTTTATATGGCACTCAGTGAAATACTCAGAAAATCAAAATTTTAAGCCAATAGTGTTTTTGGAATCCAGGACAAGACCTAATTACCTTTCTAACATTAAAAAAAAACGGGTATCTTGATGGCAAAAACTAATGGCAAAGTCATAACAAGAAATCCCAGCTTGCCTGAATATATTAAGAAAAATAACAAAAGTGCTTCTTTTTTTTTGGTACAACATAACCTTACAGGCATTAATGCTGATACTTAAATTTTTTTAGTTTATAAACCTAAGTATAATTGTTAACTAGGCTTATTAACTTTATAGCTTTTCAATTAGCTATATATCTTTTTTTTCTTCAACTTAATTTATAGTTGGTAATATATAATTTAAGGGCTGATCTAGGTCAAATGCCAAAATAAGATGTACAGCCATCTAGCAGTGTCTTTGCTAAATGGCTGGATATAGATCTTGTGCTTCTAGACCTCACTGAGGGGGGGGGGTACTCCATTTTAAAGGGGTAAGCAAGTGATCAAAAATCTGTAACTTGCCCTATAAAGGTTTTATTCACTGAAGCAGGGAGGCAACAATATTCAGCATAAAGGAGCCGTTTATAGTCTGAAGATATGGATGAACCCTCTTTCTTGTCCTGAAAACAAAACCAACCAAGGTTGAAGCAGGTTGGACTCAGGGTTCTGTTTTAAGGTCCGTCTGGGTCCAAGTTTCAGCCAATGAGCTGCAGATTGAAGAGTACTGATTCAATTTCAATTAGGTTTATTCATATAGTGCATTTTACAATTCAACTAGATCGTACATGATTCAAAGTTTTCTATCTAAGGAAAACCAGCTGATTGCATCGACTCATTGACTCTTCAGCAATCCCTCACACTAAGCATGCTTGTAGTGACAGTGGGGAGGAAAAACTCCCTTTTAACAGGAAGAAACCTCCAGCAGAACCAGGCTCAGCGTGAGCGGCCATCTGCCAAGGCCGACTGGGGCTCAAGGAGACAGAAGCAGACATAGAAAAAGAACAATAGATAGAAAAGGCAACTGTCAACCAGCTCCACAGGCGGCCCCGTCCAGGAAACGCACAGCCAGGCAGACGAGCTCCGAGCCAGCTCCCATGTCAGAGGATGAAGAGAGCACATACAGTTAGCCACAGTCAGAGAAACAGGACTACACTGGAAAACAGGTTGATCTCCAACATCTAGAAACAAAGGTGATGATGGAAGCAGCACGGCTGATATTTCTCTCCAGGATGGAGTCACAGCCATTAGATTAGAGATTGAACTAACAGATTCTGCAGAGTGGGAGAATAGAGATAGAATGAAGCAGAATGATGAAAAAGGGGTCCCTATGTCCTCCAGCAGTCTAAGCCTATAGCAGCATAACTATAGAGATAGCTCAGGATAACCTGAGCCTTTCTAACTATAAGCTTTATCAAAAAGGAAAGTTTTAAAAGTAGAAAGAGTGTCTGCCTCACAGTCTAATTTTTTTTTCTTTGTTTCGAAAAACAAAAACAAATAAATTGTTTTTCTCCAGCTCCATCTTTTGGGGCGAATTCTCTACTTTAATAATTTCTCTTTACCTGTTTTCAGAATTTGTGGTTTTCTCTGCTGGTATAAAGCTGACTCACTTCCTGTCGTTTCTCCGCTCAGTTTCACAAACTGCTGTGAAACCACGTTTGTAGCGCGTGGGCTGGCTGCGCAGTGCATCCTGCTGTGGTGTGTGTCTTAAGCTACACGTTTTCAGGGGGGGATGAATATGTGGATGATCATTTGGACGTTAATCCTCGTTTTTTTTTCTTCTCTAAAAGCACTGAGAGGCTCAGAATGGTCTGTGTGTCAGAATAAGTGTCAGATCAGCATACCCATAGCTTGCGCAAGACTTCAGATTTGCGTTTATCCCTTTTGTCTTGTTTGAAAAATACGCTTTAAACAACCTTGATAGGCATGTATTCCTTTAGTCATGTACAAAAAACAATTTAATTACTTACTTTTTGGCGTTTGTTGAAGCTAATTGCGATCTGACCTTTCTGACCGATTGACCGTCGAGGTAGTTTAAAGGTTTTATTCTCATATTCTCTTCTCATTGGCTCTCCATCCCATCAACTCCTGCTTTTGTCTAAGCTTTGAATTGATCCATTCGAAGAGCTCTAGCTCCAAGGGTAAATATTAATATTCATACCTGGTTTGATTGTCATAAAACACTCATATCTACACGTCTTCATGTTCAGACTAATAAAGTTTCTCATTACCAGTCAGAGCACAGGTTTCATGGAAAGATTTCTGTTTTTCTTCAAATAAAGGTTATTTTTCTGTGATGGAGTATCAGTAGTGTGACGGTTAAAGCATACAGTAGTCTTCATCAGCATTAAAAAGGCTCCCAAGCATCATCGACACAAAGATTTATTCAAAAGGTTTACATTGTTGGAATCTATTTTTCCTCAAGCCAACTGTGTTTAATAGCAGCATCGTCCCAGTGCTCTAACATGCTTGGATGTAATTTAAAAAAGCAGAAATTAAACAAATGAGTAGTGTTTTAGTAATTACTTTATTTAGTTTGTACATTTAAAGTTTAGGAGACTGTGAGTGACTGTTTGAAATTATAGCAATCATTCTGGGATGAAAGGACCATTGTGCTATATGCCATGATCATGCTTTTTGGATACTGGGAACCAGTGTCCATGTTTCATATTGACATGATGACCCGAGAAGGGAATACAGTTTGGTGAATAACCAGCAGTAAGATCTCTTTCCTATTAAGCTGGAGTCCAATTGGGTAGGATCTCCAGCTAAATGGAGATCCAAGGCCCAAAGGGACCCAGATCTCCAGAATCATCAAGGATAAGTCAGAACCTTTCAGAACCAAACTGCTGCAAAACAGACCTTTTGCAACACATTTCTCTTCAGTTTTAGAACTTATAGAGCCAGACTGGATGAGAAAGCCTGTCTTGATGTGAGCCACTGAGACCGACTGCCTTGCTGTTAGCCTGCCTGCTAATCCAGCTGGATGGAAACTCAACTTTCAAAATGGAAATGGACAAAAAGGTGTGCAGGTCTGGCACAATTAGGGACACAACAAACAATGTCTTTTGATGATGTTGATCTTTTCACATGTGTTTACTGATGAGTAAAGACAAAGCTAA